TTTTTTGCTCCCGTCCAGCAGTGTTAAGTAGTCTGAGCCCAGATTGTATCATCAGCTCTTTGAGGATATAGTCTAACATATTTGTTGGATTATTATATAACACACAATGGTGAATTTAAAAAAAAAAACCTCAGTGATTTTGTCAGTTTCTCACACTCAAGTTAAAAAGATAACCCAAAATATACCAAAGGAAGACATTTTCTTTAAAATTATGTGGTACCTTAAGACATGAGTGATTAAAAATGTAGTTGGAATTAAGGAAAATCAGTTGGAATACTTAAATTTGTAAAAAAAAAAAAAAATATGCTTGTTGAACATACAGAAGTAGAATAAGAAATAATACTTGAACTTCCAAGAGACCCTAAGGTTGCTTTAACAGCCTTCTCTAGCCAGAGGAATACTAAGAGTTGATTCCAGGTTCTCATTTTTCTCTTGAGCCTTTTAGTGTATAGCTATTAAGAAAGTACAAGTAAACTAATCACAAACTACTTTTTTCTTTCTTTCTTTTTTTTTTTTTTTTTGGAGGCAGAGTTCCACTCTATCCCCCAGGCTAGAGTGCAGTGGCAGGCGATTGCAGCTCACTGCGACCTCCGCCGCCCAGGTTCAAGTGATTCTTCTGCCTCAGCCTCCTGAGTAGCTGGAATTACAGGTGCCCACCACCATGCCCAGCTAATTTTTGTATTTTTAGTAGAGAAGGGATTTTGTCATGTTGGCCAGGCTGGTCTCAAACTCTGACCTCAAGTGATCCTCCCACCTCAGCCTCCTAAAATGCTGGGATTACAAATGTGAGCCACTGTGCCTGACCCTAGTTTGTTTTTAAATATCTGATTGGGCTCTCTCTAGAGTGTAACTGTGAACCATTGATCAGTTCTTTTGAAATAGTATACTAGGAAATTTTGAAGAATTATATAATAGATGGTTAAATCATTTTTTGACTACTATCATTTTTTAGGTGTGACTTGTGGAAGCTTTAAGATTGAAGTAATTTCCTGGGTCCTCTAACAATTATAGTAACATTTGTTTAAGTAGAATTGAAAAGTTCTTCATTTACTTTATAATGACTATTTGGGTGAGCATTTCAGCTTTTCATTTTTGACTAGGAATTGGTCAGGATTTGGTTTGCTATAGAGATAGTGTTTAGATTTGGAAAGCAAGTTTAGTAATCAAAGTAATTTAATAGAGGTAAAAGTACAGGGAGAATTATGGCTCAACTTTAGGGACTGAGTAACTTTAATATAGTTAAACTTCAATTCTAGTAAGTTTATTAAACAATGTAAAGACACTCTATAACATTCTAGAACTGCCTTGTAAAAAGATGTGGGGATATTTGGCAGGTCGTAATGATTGCTGTTATTACTGATATATACGAGTGCTTTTCAAATTGGAGGTTATGATGAAGTCCTTCATTCACTTTAAGAACTAAGTAGCTTTTGGTTGTACCAAAACCTGCTACAGTCTAAGCTAAAGCGAACATTTCACCTTTCCTTGTTGTTGAAAATCTGGGATTAGGTCAATTCTTCACCATCTCTGGAAGAACAATTCTATTCATGCAGTCATAGCATATGATGAGTAGAAAGCACAGCCATGTCTGTTTGGATAAATTGCCAAGTTTTAAGCCAGGAACAATTGTCCTTAAGTTATTGCAAATCAGGGTGTAAACTGGATTTTTTTACTTTTTATATGCCTCTCTATATAAAATCATGAGTAAATTACATTAAATTAACTGATTTTTTTTTTTCTTCTTTTTAGATCACTATAAACAAAATTTCCACCAGAGAAAATGTTGAAATAGGAGTTGTGGATACATTGGATATACTGGATGAAATACAGCGGTTAATTTTTGTAACGTGGGGGAAAAGCCCACATTGCTGGTTACATGTGTAAATCACTGCGTTATTGCTTTAGTCATTGTCTCTATTTAGCAATGACAAGACTGGAAGAAGTAAATAGAGAAGTGAACATGCATTCGTCCGTGCGGTATCTTGGCTATTTAGCCAGAATCAATTTATTGGTTGCCATATGCTTAGGCCTATACGTAAGATGGGAGAAAACAGCAAATTCCTTAATTTTAGTAATTTTTATTCTAGGTCTTTTTGTTCTTGGAATTGCTAGCATACTCTATTATTATTTTTCAATGGAAGCAGCAAGTTTAAGTCTCTCCAATCTTTGGTTTGGATTCTTGCTTGGCCTCCTATGTTTTCTTGATAATTCATCTTTTAAAAATGATGTAAAAGAAGAATCAACCAAATATTTGCTTCTCACGTCCATAGTATTAAGGATACTGTGCTCTCTGGTGGAGAGAATTTCTGGTTATGTCCGTCATCGACCCACTTTACTAACCACAGTTGAATTTCTGGAACTTGTTGGATTTGCCATTGCCAGCACAACTATGTTGGTGGAGAAGTCTCTGAGTGTCATTTTGCTTGTTATAGCTCTGGCTATGCTGATTATTGATTTGAGAATGAAATCTTTCTTAGCTATTCCCAACTTAGTTATTTTTGCAGTTTTGTTATTTTTTTCCTCATTAGAGACTCCCAAAAACCCCATTGCTTTTGCATGTTTTTTTATTTGCCTGATAACTGATCCTTTCCTTGACATTTATTTTAGTGGCCTTTCGGTAACTGAAAGATGGAAACCGTTTTTGTACCGTGGAAGAATTTGCAGAAGACTTTCGGTCGTTTTTGCTGGAATGATTGAGCTCACGTTTTTTATTCTTTCAGCACTTAAACTTAGAGACACTCATCTCTGGTATTTTGTAATACCTGGCTTTTCCATTTTTGGAATTTTCTGGATGATTTGTCATATTATTTTTCTTTTAACTCTTTGGGGATTCCATACCAAATTAAATGACTGCCATAAAGTATATTTTACCCACAGGACAGATAATAATAGTCTTGATAGAATCATGGCATCCAAAGGGATGCGCCATTTTTGCTTGATTTCAGAGCAGTTGGTGTTTTTTAGTCTTCTTGCAACAGCAATTTTGGGAGCAGTTTCCTGGCAGGTAAGCTTATTGTTTGTCCATGAACCCCAAAGATATGTAATAAAATGCTGGCTTCAAGCATTGAAATTAAAGTTGTAAGGTCAAGTTCCTGAAAAAGGATATTATTCATATTTGCTCTTATTTAATTTTGTCATTGGAATTGAAGCACTGAATGTGTTTCAAAAGGATAATTTATTTGATCTCTAACAAAGAAGTACTAAAATGTTATGAACACTCAGCATTGAGATGCCTCCTGCTTCCTGATTGTTCATTAGTGAAACACTCATCGATTAAAGATTCTTAGTATACTAGCATTTGGAAAGTATTTAAAGATTGTATTTTGATCCTTTCATTTTACCCATGAGGAAACCGAAAGCCAAAGAAGACACATCCAGAGTCACTAGTACTAGCAGGAGCAAGGTTACCTACCTAACTTTTGTCTTTTCCTGGACTCCTCACTGTAACATGTTTCTTTTATGTAGCCATTTCTCTGAAGATTTTATATAAAAGGTGATTAGATATATAACAACATATCAGGTTCTTAATTATAGATTAGAAGTTATCCTAAGAAAGAAAACCTGAGTTTCATCATACCTTTGCTGCCCAGAAATTTTTTAAAAAAGGTTCTTGTATACAAAGACATTTGTACAGATGGAGTTTGCATCTGCATTATTAACAAACCCAGTCTTTGATTAATTGAGCATGTATTGATTATGCACTATATATATGCCAGGTACTATTCTGGGTGTGGAAGATCTCAGGATGTCTGTCAGAGGTGGCACAGTCTCCAAAGGGAGGAGGAAGAGGCTGGCATGTAAATTACTATCACAGTGAGACAAATACTATATTCTGTGTACATCACGCTGGGATGTGGGGCAAAAAGGAGAGTCAGCTCTGCTTGGTGGAATTCTTTGTAACAGTTTGTTGCTCCTGAGAGATGAAAAGTGTGTTTTGAAGGGGGAGATGTGGAGACTTGCCTGGAAATGGTACTTTCTAGTCAGCTGGGCCAGGGTAGGGATCCTATGTGGGAGTCAACCAAATGAGGAAAACATCTTGGGTGTTGCCCGAGGATATTGTCCATACTTTGCTCTACTTGCTGGTGTTAGGGACTATCAGAATTATGGTGATATCAAAAACTCAAGCATGAGTTTTCCTCCCCTAACGTGCCTCTCTTCTTCCTGCTAGCTCCTTTCCCAGCCCTAAATACTTTTTCTTTTCCAAGTCAGCCTCATTCATGCTGATACCATTCCAGGCTATCAAATTCTGTTAACAAAATATTAATATTTTCTTGGTCTGCAAATTTTTTCTTATGCCAGTTGTCTTCAGATACAGTGTGTACCACTCTAGATACACGAAAACTTTCCAAGAGTCTATCAGCAGAGATAATTTTAAGAGAATCAGTTTCCAGATTCTCACCTTCTATTTTTTCCTAAAGTTGATCTACTTAAGAATCCCTCAATTTAGATGTGGGGTGATATTGTGGTTTTAATTTATGTCTCTAATGACTAATGATGTTGAACATCTTTCATGTGTATATTACCCATTTACTTTGTTATTTAAACATTCACATTGTTTGCCCATTTTAAAGCTGAGTTATTTGTCTTGATTGAGTTTTAAGGGTTCTTTATATATTCTGGATACAAGCCCTTTGTCAGATAAATGATTTCGAAATGTTTACTCCCAGTCTGTGGCTTATGTTTTTATTTTCTGAATGATACTCTTTGAAGAGTTTAGAAGAGTATAAGGTTTTAATTTTACAGAGTCTGATTTATCCGCTTTTTCTTTTATGGGCTCTGCTTTTAGTGTCTTATCTAGGAAGTCTTAGCTCAGTACTGGGTCACAATTCTTTAGAAGCATTATTTTAACTTTTATATTTAGGTGTATGATCCATATTGAGTTATAGTATGAGATAAGGATCTATGGTTTTTGTTTTAGTTTTTTTTAATATATAGACGTCTCATTGTTCCCAGCACCATTTATTGAAAAGATTAACATTTCCCCTATTGAATTGCCTTGGCACCTTTGTTTAAAATCAATTAAATATAAATGTAAGGTTGTATTTTTGAGTTTTTTTGTTATATTGACCTATATGTCTATTGTTATGCTAGTACTGTGCCATCTGGTGAGAGGTTTTCTAATTTCCCTTGAAATTTCTTCGACTCATGGGTTATTTATAAGTTTGGTGTATAATATCCTAATATTTGGAAATTTCCCACATTTCTTTCCATTGATTTCCAATTCCATGTGGTTGGAGAACACTGTTTGTATTTAGTCTTTTAGGCCACTTATTTTGTGGCATGGCTTTTTATTTCATGTTCACTTGAAAATAAGGAGTCCTGTGTTTTTGGGTACAGTGTACTATAACTATCAGCTAGATTAAGTTGGTTGGTATTGTTGTTCATGTATCTGTAGCCTTGTTAGTTTTCTGTCTAGTTCTTTAATACTGAGAGAGATTAAAAGCTCTATTATAGCTCCTGAGTTGTCTACCTCCTTTTTCAATTCTGTCATTTTTTTTTTTTTTGCTTCATGTATTTTGAAGCACTGTTCCTAGATGTAGATGCATCTTTAATTGTTATATCCTCTTACCATATTAACTTATTATTATGGTAAACACCATAGTTGAGTAGTTAAAACAGAGACTATATGGCCTGCAAAACAAAACATTAACTATCGCGCCCGGCCCCCCGTGTTTTTGAGAGTTGTTTCACTCTTGTCACCCAGGCTGGAGTACAATGGTGCCATTTCTGCTCACTGGAACCTCCGCTTTCTGGGTTCAAGCGATTGTCCTGCCTCAGCCTCCCAAGTAGCTGGGATTACAGGTGCCTGCCACCAGGCCTCACTAATTTTTGTATTTTTGGTAGAGACAGGGTTTTGCCATGTTGGCCAGGCTGGTCTCTAACTCCTGACCTCTGGTGATCTACCCGCCTCAGCCTCCCAAAGTGCTGGGATTACAGGTGTGAGCCACCACATCCGCCCCCTTCTCTGGCCCTTTTGAGAAAAAGTTTGCCAATCTTTTTTCTAGACCATTGCTTCTCAATTTTCAGTACGCATACTATTCATGTAGGGATCTTGTTAAAATTCTGAAGATTGGAATTCAATAATTTGGGGGAAGAGCATGAGACTCTGTGTCTTTAAAAATCTTCAACATGATGCAAAAACTTCTGATCACCAGCGTACTCATTGAGTGGTGATGTATTCATTTAGCTATTCAAGACTAGTGTGAATCTACCTGAGTTATGGCTGCATTTCTCAATTGGTTGTTATTTGGAAACTGCTGCCCATGGCATAGGCATTGTGCCTTGAAGGTAAATTTTTTCTATTTAATTTAACCAATCTTCTGTAGAAAGATTTCAAACTCTGCTTTGCCCAGTGTTCTGTAAGATGTTAGTGAGTGTACTCTGAGGAAAAAAAATGTTCAAAGTACAGAAAGAAAAGCATTTTCAAACTAACTTGACCGTGAAATCCTTGCTCTATCCCTCATTACTTATATTACTCACCTCTCCACGCCCATACCTTTTAATCTCTATGTGAAACATAATTTGGGAAGTATCTGCTCAATTTATGTATGTTCCAAACCTTTCGAATAATGAAAGAACCAGAAAGTTTTGCAGAAAGGCACATACTTAAGAGCTATGTTAGGAGATGACTATTTTGGGATAATAATATCATTGTTTAATGAAAATAAATTCTGAGGGCTATCTCAGATTCTTTAAATTGAATTTTAATTGATTTTTAATATTGAACTATTTTTACTTATTTCCTGAATGGTATTGATACCATTTTTCACATAATCTAAAACTATTTGTCATATTTCTGTGAGAGTAATACTAAAGTAGTCATTTTTCTCAGTCCCATTAAAATATCCTTCAATCTGTTTTCACTAGAAAAACTGTGCCACTGATTAGATGAGGGCAGACCTAATGTGCAAGGAAAAAAATGAATTAAAGAAGGCTTTGAGTAGATCAGTTTGTGAGCTATGTCAGAATCTATGAAAGTAAACACAGACTGAAATCAAGAAGGCTAGCCAGGAGCAAGAGATAAGGACTTGTACTAAGGTAACAGGGAAAAGGGCCATGATAAGGATAAGACAGAGTATTATCAAATGAAAAACTAATAGATTTTGTTGAGAAGTAAAATATAAAGAGAATTTGATATTGGTTGATAAAATGTAAAGTAGAAGGTTGTGGTAGATAGTCAAAATGTTAAAAAGATGTTGAGAACCTGAAGAGAGCATATAAGAATGTAGCATGACAGAAAACATGATAGATTTCACTGAGTTAATGACTCAGTGGAATGAGTTAATGACTAGTGGACATTTGGGATTTATTATATGCCTTATAGGCTTATTTATCTTTTAAAATATATTTTTAGGGACTCAAATGCATTTTCATTTTACTATTAGATAAGTGAAAACATGCAAGATTAACATGCTTTATGGAGCACAATTGTAACTTAGATCATAATCCCAAAAAATTGGTTTAGCCATTGTTCCTTAAGGTTTTGCATATGAAAACTTCAGGGTTTTGTTAGTTTTACTTAGCTTAATATAAAAAAAAAAGTTTAAGGAAAAATTTACATATAGTAACATTCACCTCTTTTAGCGTGTAATTCTGTGATTTTGACAAACACATAAAATTGTCTGACAACCACTACCACAATCAATGTGTAGAGCAGTTCCATCACCCCTAAAATTCTCTTCTGCTTCTTTGTAATCAGTTCTTCTCCCAACCCCAGATATTTGCAACCTGATTTGTTTTCCATTCCTAGAAATTTTCCTTTTCCAGAATGTCATATTCATAAAATTGTATAATATTGTAGCCTTTTGAGCCTGACTTTTGTTTTTGACACAGGGTCTTGCTTTGCAGTCCAGGCTAGAGTACAATGGCATAATCATGGCTCACTTCAGCCTCGACTGCCTAGGCTTAAGCAATCCTCCTGTCTTGGCCTTCCAAAGTTCTGGGATTATAGGTGTTAGTAAGTTAGTTACTTTTATTGTGAGCAGTATCCCATTGTACGCATGTTCCAGTTTATCCCTTATTCAATTGAGAGACACTGAAATTATTTGCAGTTTTTTGGTAATTATGAGTAAAGCTGCTATTTGTGTTAACATAAGCTTTTATTTTATTTAGTGCGATGTGAGATTGCTGGGTCATGTGGAAAGCATTTGTTTTAACTTTATATTGCCATATATATGTATTTCTAGAAAATCTACAGAATAAGCTCATGATATTAATTATTTATATATTCTAGAAATCAAGACTTAAAAGGTTAATTAACTTATTTGTGTACATATAGTAAGTGGTTGAGCTGGGATTAAATCAAAGTCTAACTCCAAAGCTTGGGTCCTTTCCACTATGCTCTACTTCTACATAAACAAGTCATTTGATTTTAAAATTATGCAGTAGCCTTCATAATCTTCTTAGGTTTCCTGAACCAAGTAAAGTTTTGAAGGTTGCCTATGTTTCTTAAAGCCAGATTTCTCACAGTCTTTCCATTTATATATTTCCACATTTATGTATGCTGTTTCTTAGCTGGGCTTTACTTTCCCTAGACTTCTATGTATGTTTTCCAAATCTGGTTTGCATAAGGTGACTCATACAAAAATAATTCTAAACAAACAAGGTTTATATGTTTCTTATGTAAACGTTACATTTTTTAAATGGCGTTGCATAAAGAAATTTTTTTCCTGTTACCTGAAAAATTTTAGGATATGAAATGTTGAATACTTAGACTATGACTTGAAAGCCCAGCTAAATGGAGATCTAATAACTAGTAACAACTTTTATTCAAAGGACATTACTTACAGATTGTTTATTGATCTTCTTTTGTGCTTAGTTTATATCTACTTTGAAATATGAACCATATCTTAAAATTTGATAGTGAGCTTAGAATAATTTGGAGAAGCAAAGGAGAAAAAGTACTTACAGGTTTTAATCAGTTGATCTTATTTGTTACTAGGAATTAAGGTGTGAGGAGTACTCCAAAGTCACACATGGCTCTAGATTGAAGCTATAGAATAAAGGTTTGCAGACCAATAAAATTGAAGCTCTCTGAAAGAGGCAAGTGGATAAAACATCCTAAATTTATTTTGGCTTCTCCTGGACATACTTGCCATCTGTTCAGTTAAGATTATGAATTTTTGTATTGCCTAAATACTCACTTGTGTGTGATTTTAATAGAATATTTAATACTGTTTTCCTAAGCTTGCTTTTTCAAAATAACCTAATAGAATTACTTAATGATTTTTTTTTCCTGATAAATTAGCTTTTTAAAAATGTATAACAGGGCCAGGCACGATGGCTCACGTTTGTAAGTCAACTGTTTGGGAGGCCAACGCGGTAGGATTGCTTGAACCCAGGAGTTTGAGACCAGCCTGGGAAACATAGGGAGACCTCGTCTCTACAAAAATAAAATTGGCAGGGCATTGTGGTGCATGCACCTGTGGACCCAGCTACTTGGGAGGCTAAAATGGTGGGATCACGGGAGCCTGAGAAGTCGAGGCTGCAGTGAATTGTGATTATGCCACTGCAATCCAGCCTGTATGACAGAGTAAGACCCTGTCAATCAGCATAAAATTCTCAATTTCTAAGATTTTTTAATATAAGAAGCTAGTAGTAACAGATCATCTGTTATTTATGAATTGTGATCAGTAAACCCCTGAATATCTGCTTATTTAGTTCTACTGTATCAAATATCATCATCAGTGTTGCATAATCAACATTAGGGCATTGAATAACATCAATATCAATTAACATTTTAATTAGAATTAATTATTAGGCTTTTCATTTGAGTTATCTACAAATTGGCAATTAAACTTTATCATTTGCTTAGTCTACTGCTCAAACTGTTTAATACTTTTTTCTAACAGTAAAAGCATACTGAAGATTGAGAAGCAGTGGGCTAGAAAAAATATGTAAATATATAAAATGTAATAGCCTGGAAATCAATAATCAGAGAATTGGGACTGATTCCATTTATAAGAACAGAAACATAAAATGCCTAGAAATAAGTTTTAAACTTATAAAACTTTTATTTTAAAATTACTATAAACCTCACTGAAGGCTATAAAAGAAGACTCGAATAAATGGAAAAACACACCATACTCCTGGGATGAAAAGACTCATTGCTGAGCCTTGCAGGCATTTGTGTATGTAGAGGAAATTGTTTTCAAAGCTGAGCTGCACTTTTGTTCCCCTCAAGGGTAGCAAAAATCAGAGCTAAGCCGGGGGCCTCCAGAAGTAAGATCTCTGGTAAATTAACTCTTATGCTTATATACTGAAAGAAGAGTGTAGAGCCATGTGTGTTATAGTTCTCTCATGAACTTGCTTTCTGCCCTTGTGCCCTGTTGGTGGTTCAACCTGGGATTAAGTGGTCAAACCTGGATTAAGATATGTAGACTCGTAATGTCTGCCATTCCCTGGAAGAAACAGATTGTCTCTAGGAGAAGGTATCGTGATCCTAGGCCTAAATAATTTTTATATTCACTGTTCGGCTCATAAATTTAACCAGGTACACACACACACACACACACACACACACACACACCCCACCAAGAGCAAGAAGCCGCAAAACCAACAGACAACAGAAAAAAATCTTCAGGTATTGATTAGAACTATCAAACACAGAAAACCATCAAGCTAAGTTGCAAAAATAAAAGCAGAGATCAAGACATAATGATAGTACACTGGAAACTTTAAAAAGTGACAAAGCAAATCAGGAAATAACAAATTATTTCAATGTTGCAAACATAACATTAGACAAAGCTGAAGTGAACATTAGTGAACTGGAAGATACAGTTCAGAAGAAGCTATACAAGAAGCAGCATGAAAAAGGAAAAGTATGGAAAATACTGAACAGAAAGAAAAGGTAAGACTCAAATGGGATATGGTAAGAAGATCTCATCTTTGTTTGATTAGACTCCCAAAAATGGAAGAAACGAAGACCAAAGGACATGTGAAAGGATAAAATATAGATCAACAGATCAGAAGACAGAGATCGAGAAAAGATCCATTAATACGACAAAGGAGGCACTGTAATGTGGAGTGGTTGATATTTTCAGTAATTGCTGCTTGGGCAATTGTTTCTGTAGAAGAAAAAATTGGCTCATTATCATAAACAATCAATTATGTTTGGATTATAGATTTAAATGTGAAAGGCAAAACAAGACTTTAGAGTATAATGTTAAAATCTCTTCTTAGTAGTTGGATAGAGGGATATTTATTTAACAAGGCATAAAGTGACATATAATTAAGAACTCATGTTAAGCAAAAAGCAGCATTAAAGTAGTCACAGAATCACCAACCAACAAAAGACTTTCATTTAAACTATGTTCAGAACCAAACAAAGCTAAATCAATGAAGAAAAGGGCAGCCCCATAGAAAAGTGGGCAAAATATTTACACTTCATTAAAGATGATACCCACATGATGAAAGATACTTAACCCCATTAATAATCAGAGAAGTTGATATTTATTCTAGTCCTTTTGGTATAATGGCAAACTGTAAGCAATTTACCATAATAGGATCAACTAATTACAGTTTTATATGTATTATAGGAATGCCATTTGGTCTTTACAAGTGATTTAGAGTTATGTTAACAAGCTTCGATTAAAATGTTCACAGATTATATCTCCCATTTGTTAAAAAAAAATAGACATGAATATGTATTTGTGAAAAATATATTGCATGAAGCCTGGGAATATTTCAGAGTAGCTGTGCACATAGATGATGGTATTTGGAATGATTTTAATCACGTATCTTTTTTACTTATTTGTATTTTCCAGTGTTTCTAAATTGATCATGTACTGTGTTACTCATATAATTGATAAAATAGGTGTCCAAAATATGACAGTATATCCTTTTTATTGCAGGAATATATTTTCTATTATTAAATTTTTATCAGATGAGCCACCCCTTAGTTTTAAAAGCATATGTTTGTGCACCTACACATATAGTATGTGCAGTAGCAATACAGAAAGAATGTGATAGTTTAATATTCCAAAGATATGTTGAAGACTAAGTGCCATCCTTCCATTTTCTTTTCACTTAAATGAGTCTTAATTTTTTCTGCATTTTCATTGCAATTAATACCTTATTGCCTCCTCCTCTTGTTTCTTCTGCTTCTCTACTTTCCATTCTGCTTTTATAATGCTTACATGTCCTTAATATTTTCTTCTGTTAAAATTCTGAATTTACACATCTGGAGAGTTCAGTGCTTTATAAGGTAAATTATATTATGTAAACGGAATTTGTTTTTATAGGTTTAGGGTCTTTAATTTCCTTAAGAATTTCATAATTTCATGGGGAAAAAAATGAACCCTTTCTAAAGTACCCTTTTTGATAAAGTAAATGAATGTGTCATTTGAAAAATGACATCAGCATGTGAGTTTTAACAAGATATTATTTTCTGGCATTTTTCTGTCACATCAAAGAATGGTTTTGGTTTGGGTTTGTTTTTTTTTTTTTTTTTCTAGTTTGGATAGGATGTTGTATGACAAATCTTTTAAAAAAATAATGTGCTTTTGCTACAACTTCCAAGAAACTGAGAGATAAATTTAGTATTTATTGCACTAGTTAGCTCTTCATGTATACCTGTCTGCTTTAAGTGAAAATTGTTTTTAGATTATTAATTGTTCCTTTTATCCTTTTTGAAAGTATAGGTTAAAAAATGTGAATCAGTGTGCACGTATGTAAATATATACACATATGTACACATACTGTGTAAACATGTTTTGGATTTCTTTTAGCCAACAAATGGAATCTTCTTGAGCATGTTTCTAATTGTTCTGCCATTGGAATCCATGGCTCATGGGCTCTTCCATGAATTGGGTAACTGCTTAGGAGGAACATCTGTTGGATATGCTATTGTGATTCCCACCAACTTCTGCAGGTACAGTAATCTAGTATAGTTAGTATTAACTATTCAGTTCATAACATTTTCTTAATATTTATATGAATACAGTATAGCTCTTTTTCAAAACTATATTTTCAAAATATAACTTTTTCATTTCTTCCAAAATTTTAACAAACTTTATTCCAAGTGATATCTTTCAGTTCAATTGAAATATTTTGATGAATACAGTAAGCTTATATTTTGGCTAGATACCAGAATGTATTCATGAATATCTTTTCTAAGGAGAGGTCTTGCCCTACAGGGAATACTTTGTTTAAGAAAGTGTCCTATGAAACAACATAGTGAAATATAATAGAATGTGCACTAGGCCTGATAGGCTGGAGGTCTAGTTTTGTGTTACCTTTGGCAAATTGTAACTACTCTGAACTTTAGTGTCTGTCTTATCTAAAATGCAAATAGTGATACCTATTCTGCTCATCTGACAGGAATGGTATGAAGAACTAAAAAAAAAAAATGAATATAAAAACACTATGCACACTGAAAATGCCATGCAAATGCTAGGAATTCAGAGGATTGACAGTGAAGTTTAATAAATGTTTATTTAATTGCAGTTTTATTCCAAAATAATTTTTACCCACAAAGGTGGTGACATTTGTATAAATCTGAAAATGTTGCTACATTTTGATTTTTATTTTATAGCTAAATACCTTTACAATAATTATTTACCATAAATGAATTCTGATGACAGTTTTCATCACACTTTCCTAGGGAGAGGGGAGAATTTTTTCTAATTTCAAGTATTTAACATAAAATCCCCAAATAGACTATTTGTAGGAAAGATTTTCTTTCATGTTAAAGACTTTAAAAGTTGAAGATTCAAGAACTGAAGGAAACAGATTTGGAAATGTCCCATCAAGTAAGAAATGATAACCCTGTAGAAAGAATATGTGGAAATAGTAATATGCACAGTTATATATTTATTCTATTGTAATTTTTTAAATGTATTGCTTATTCTCTTTTGTGACTCTAATGAAAAAAAGTTAGTAGAATAGTATTGATGATACATGAAGCAAAATCTAAGGTTTTCAAAATTCCTGATAAAAATCCCTTTTCTGGATAGGAATGATTTTTTCTTTCTCAATATTAATGGTATTTTGCTAGTTAAAAGACTTGCTTTATCATCTTTACTAGAGCACCATTTTATATTTGTTCCAAGAGCAAATCTAAGTGAACTAGTTTTCAGTAGTATAAGGCAAGGGTCCTAAATTTTAGTAACTTTTTAAATGCCTATTAATAGATAATTTCTTCTGCCATTTGTGTACCTTAAGTTAGTAAAATTTGAACACAATTTTTTAAAGACTATTTTTCAATACAGAAATAAAATAACTAGGCCGGGCATGGTGACTCACACTTGTAATCCCAGCACTTTGGGATGCCGAGGTGGGAGGATTATGAGATCAGGAGTTTGAGACCAGCCTGGCCAATATGGTGAAACCCCATCTCTACTTAAAAAATGCAAAAAGTAGCCGGGCATGGTGCCATGCACCTGTAGTCCCAGGTACTTGGGAGGCTGAGGCAGGAGCATCTCTTGAACCCGGGAGGCGGAGGTTGCAGTGAGCTGAGATCACACCACTGCACTTCAGCCTGGCGACAGAGCAAGATACTGCCTCAAAAAAAAAAAGAAAAGAAATAATTAAAATATTGCTTTTATATTTTGTGTGTTATAATATTCTTAAAGAATGGTTTTTTTAATAGTCCCCACCCAGATGTTCTTGAAATGGTATAATTCTATTTTTAAAAAGCCATGTCCAATATCTATCAGGTAAGAAAATAGAAATAAGGAACAAAGAGTAATACTATCTACATTTGGAGATGTTATCCCAAATTTTAATTTGGTTGTTGTTTTAATGATAGTAAATATAATATTTAGAAACCAGGTTTTGATTTCCTAAGCTTAATTCTTAGTACTATGGGAATGTTAGAAATGACGATTTAAAAAAAAAAAATTCCTGTCACTTAGCAGCAAATATTATTATTCTTAGATAATTAGTTATAAATGACAGATGAGAATGTAATATAGAGTGAATAAATACTTTTTAAACACCAAAATAATTGTTTTTTCTCCTACTTCAGTCCTGATGGTCAGCCAACACTGCTTCCCCCAGAACATGTACAGGAGTTAAATTTGAGGTCTACTGGCATGCTGAATGCTATCCAAAGATTTTTTGCATATCATATGATTGAGACCTATGGATGTGACTATTCCACAAGTGGACTGTCATTTGATACTCTGCATTCTAAGCTGAAAGCTTTCCTCGAACTTCGGACTGTGGATGGACCCAGACATGATACGTATATTTTGTATTACAGTGGGCACACCCATGGTACAGGAGAGTGGGCTCTAGCAGGTAAATTCACCTTTGGTAGTTTCACTATTGTAAAGATACACATGTATTTGTAGAAATCTGTATTTCATACATAGTCATTAAATTTCAGGATTCTCAGTTTTCCACTTCAGTTCACCAAACTATACATACGACTCTAATTTGTTTTTCTTTGCTCTAGCATACCTGTTTAGCCTAATTTAGTAATCTCTAATGATAAGATTGAGAATTATGTCTTGTAGTGATTAGAAGGAAAAAAATGCTTTGAGACTTATAATCAGTTTCCATTAAAATATTTTCAGATTTGCTAAATATATTTTTCAGAAGCCGATAAACTTCTTTGACTAGTTTTTTGTTTGCTTGTTTGTTTTGTGATGGAGTCTTGCTCTGTTGCCCAGGCTGGAGTGCAGTGGTGTGATCTTGGCTCACTGCAACCTCTGCCACCTGGTTTCAAGTAATTCTACTGTCTCAGCCTCCTGAGTAGCTGGGACTACAGGTGTGTGCCACCACACCTGACTAATTTTTTGTATTTTTAGTAGATACAGGGTTTCACTATGTTAGCCAGTATGGGCTCTATCTCCTGACCTCTGATCCACCCATTTCAGCCTTCCAGAGTGCTGACATTACAGGCATGAGCCACTGTGCCCGGCCTTGACTAGTATTTTTAAGTTTCTAAATGTTATAGATGCAGATTTCAGTAGTCCTTCACATCTGTAGTTTTATTTATGTTAGAAAGCTCACCAGAATTTTAAATACTAGATCATGTGGTAATAGGTCAAGTAAATGTATTTGCTTAGGACCTATAACAGAGCCTGGTACATAGTAGAGGATCCTTAAGTAGTTGATAAATAGATGAAATCACTGAATAAATCATTTAAAAAGAAAGGTAATTTTCTTATTTTAGATTAGACATAGTTATTTTAGATTTAATTACATGTTTTTCTGTAAAAGAGTATAGATGTTTTAAACTAAGAATACATAAATAATAAAATAGTCATAAAATAAAGTAGAAACATTCAGGATGAAGAAAAAGATAAATAGAAGTAGTATAGAAGGACAGAGGGAGAGTTGCCAATATCAGTATAAGAACTCCAGAAAGAAACAAAAGGATAAAGTAGAGATGATTTTAAACCAGCGTAATCTCACTAATTTTGTGCCAGATTTGTAACTGGTTCTATCAGAAAGAATTTTTTTTTTTAATTTTTCTTTTTTGCCAATAAATATTGAATAACTCAGTGGTTTTCTAGTAGAAAGACAAGATAATATTTATTGAGCACATTTTAAGCATCAGCTTATCTTACTGTACTTAGTACATTACACACTTTGTTAATCTTCATGTGAAATCCTTTGAGATGGATACCATCCTGTTATCTTCAAATGGAAATTGGAAGTTGTTATGTAACTTATCTATGGTCATACCACTATGTGATAGACCATGATTAAGGACCAGATCTGCCAGACTCCTAAAGTGTATTTTTTCCCCCGCTGTACCATGTTGCCTCCAAGGGTGAACGCCATGATGATAAAGAAATGGCATGTTCTGATTAAGTGGATATTTTTGTTAGCATGGATCACCCATTTCAAAAAATTAGAATGTACAAGACTAAAAGATGTATTGAACACTAAAGCTACTTGAATATAGTTTTTAAAATCTTTTACTTGACCTGTAACTTTTTTTTTTTTTTTGCACATCCCCCCACGACCTATAACTTTTTAATTACAATGTAGAAAGCATCTTTTTAACCTTTATGGCTACTTCAGTTTCAGGTAAAGTATAACATTCTGTGTATTCCAACTCAGAATACAAGAGAAAGCTCTAGTCAATTAAAACAGTCTTTACAGAAGTAGAATATTAGATCTAAAAGCAGGGATTGATTACCGAAAACTTACTAAAATGCTTATGATAATAAACTCTACCCAGATCAAATGATGTAAACAGGGCTAATTTTTGGTGGCCATGCATATATCCCTAGTTAAAGTATTGTAAGAGAGTAGTTTTAGAAGTTAGCTTTCTGTGTGTGTTTATATTAAGGATTTATTACTTAATAGAAACACTTTTCAAAAAGTTTGCACTTTTCTTAAGTGATTTAAAATTCATTAAGTATTTCTTAAAGATAGCCATGGAAATCAATCTAGATGTTCATTTTACTAATACTTATATCAGCTTTTTCTCAAAGTAAAAAACACTAAGATAAACATATATATAATCAGTGTTCCTAAATTTTCATTCATTGTTTAGTAATAGTTTTTGAAGACTTTAGGAATTCTAAAATAGAGTTATATTTTAGGTAAATGTTTAGCAGTTACATTCTGGAATGATATCTTTATAATTTTTTGCAGTATGTTACCAGTAAATTGACCATTATAGAATTCCTCTATTAGCTAAGGTTTGTTCTTGTGTAACTTTGAGAACTTATTATAAGAAGTTTAAAAAAAAAGGAAAAAAAAAAAAAAAAGAGAGAGAAAACGTACTGATCTCCCTTCCCTGACAAAGGTAGATTTTATCCCATAATTCAGCGACTGCATACTATCATGCATAGCCTGAGGCATCTGGCATACTTGTGGGTAGTCAGGTTGAACCAGGCCCAGAAGCATTCTTTTTAGTTAGTTCATGCCCTGGCCTGCTTTCGACATAGCCCTCAAGGACCGATTCTGCCTCACAAATAGTATTGAATATCTCTGCTCTGAGGAAAATGCTTTAATCTATTCCAAATTAAGTGACAAAGAATTTTAAGTTCTACTAATTTATTAATAGGGTGTTTTGTTTTGTTTTTGTTTTTGTTTTTGTTTTAGCAGCCTTTGAAATAGGAAACATCACAACTGGATTTTACTTGGGTTAGCAAGTTAATAGCAGGCCCAGTATTAATATCACTGTGGAAAGGAGAATCTTTATTTGCCCTTTATCCCATAACTTTACTCACAGTACTTAGAATATGTAATCTTTTATTTATGGAGTTTCACGATACGGAACTTAATATTTTTGCCTCTTTGCTTGAGAGTGGAAAACAATTATGGTAATTGCAAGAGAGACAGAAATAAATGGAGAAAATGTAGATAATTTATAAAGCAGTTTATTACAAATAAACAAAGCCTTTAAAAAGCAGTCTCCATTACTTGTAATGCATCAGATGGCTGTTATTTTAGATAAATGTAAGTACTTTGAATCTGGGCCAAAAGCCAAATGTAGCATAGAACCTATTCATAGAGGGAAAGCAGAGCAAAACAAGAGAAATCATTTAGAAAGCTTTAATGCTGCTTGAAGTATCTTGTTGATAGCTAAAGAGCATTTATATAAGAGAATGAGGGTAGAATATGTTAAAGAATGTTTATTGAAATAGTTGTGGATAGCATGTTGGGCAATGATGTTTTGTGGCAGATGGAATTTATATAATAGTTCTTGTAATCTGTGTCATCTTCTAATCTCCAGAGAAATTTAATAGAGCTGGAAATGATGGAGAGTTAACATTTGGCCATTTTTGAAAAAGTGTCTTTTGGGGAGGTGTCAGTGGAATAACACATTGGTATTATGTAGAGACCATGTACTGAAATGGCGTATCTGAGATAATGTGTGTGAGTGTTAGATTGATTCATAAAACAAATTTATTTTCAGGTTCTTAAGCTACAGTGGGCTACTTAATAAAATATTAATCAATTACACATACAGAATATGATATAATCCCAACGCTAAAGGATTCTCTCTCTGGTGATACCCACTTTTAATGGTGAAACCAAGAGGACAGTTGATTTGGGGGAAATATGTATTCTGGAGTTAGGTTGTTTGGTTTTGTACTGGTACATTATAAAAGTAACTTATGCTTAATGTAGAAATTTCAGAAGAGTACTTTAAAAACCACCTGGAAGTGAAACATCCCGCAATAGCTGCTGCAGTAATTTTTATAGATGAAATGTCATGCTTTTTCTAATATAGACATTTTCTGATCAGTACATTTTCTTTATAAATATTATAAGATTTACTCTTAAGATTTTAGGCTGTAGTTTATTTCCATTTCCCAAGAGGGAAGGAGGTCTTTTTATGTAATTTCTTGTTCCTAGTCTGTTCTTCCCTTAGGATAGATTCCTAGAATAGGAATGATTACATCAGTGTCCACTGAGGCAGGGCCAGATGAGATGAGGGTGGCAGTTGCCTCAGGCACGGAACATAAGGGAATGCCAAAAACCTCACTAATCAAAATGGACATTTTAATGTAGTATACAAAAAAATCCGCAATGATCTAGATGAAAAACCTGTAGTCAGAAGTTTATTTAGAACTTTCTGGGTATATTTTTTTAATCCCTTGTTCTTCAGCTATAAAACTGATTTAAATGTAAATCTATTCTTTAACTCATTTTTGTACAGGTAGGAATAGGGTTTATTTTCATTTAGCAGGTACTTGCATATGAGGAAGAAAAGGAAACAATGGTATAGAATGGGGGCCAAACTTTTTCTGTAAAGGGCCGGATATTTTTCGCTTTGTGGGTTTAGATCCCTGTTGCAGCAATTTGGCTCTGCCACTTTAGAGCAATAGCAGCCATAAAGAGTGTAAATGAATGAATGTAGTTGTGTTCCAGTAAACTTTTACAAAAATTATATCAAATTTAAATTGCATACAATTTTTGCTGTCACAAAATATTCTGATTTTCTTTCAACCATGTAAAAATATAAAATCAATTTTTAGCTTTTAGACCAAACAGAAAGAAGTGGTGGGCTAGATCAGGCCCATGAGTTGTAGTTGCTGCCCCTGCTACATAGAATGTTAGCTTTCTTGTATAGTTGTTTTCACTAAATACAACTATGTAAAACTGTTTTCTTAATTTATAATAGCATACTCCTTTTTATGTGAGTAATAAGGATTTTTTTAACCTCAAGTTGAAAATCTGTTGTAAAACTATCTTTTCCAAAGATACTTTGAAAGTGTCATAAAATTCTTTATTTTTTTGCTTATTTAATTCTAAGAATTTAAGGAAAATACATGTAAGACAAGAGTATTTTCTGAGAGAAAGTGATTAAGAGGGTTTTCTTAATGAGGCTACAGAGATTATTGCTCCATTGAATTTTCTTTTGTTCACAGGTGGAGATATACTACGCCTTGACACACTTTTAGAATGGTGGAGAGAAAAGAATGGTTCCTTCTGTTCCCGGCTTATTATCGTATTAGACAGCGAAAACTCAACCCCTTGGGTGAAAGAAGTGAGGAAAATTAATGACCAGTATATTGCAGTACAAGGAGCAGAGTTGATAAAAACAGTAGATATTGAAGAAGCTGACCCACCACAGCTAGGTGACTTTACAAAAGACTGGGTAGAATATAACTGCAATTCCAGTAATAATATCTGCTGGACTGAAAAGGGACGCACAGTGAAGGCAGTATATGGTGTGTCAAAACGGTGGAGTGACTACACCCTGCATTTGCCAACGGGAAGCGACGTGGCCAAGCACTGGATGTTACACTTTCCTCGTATTACATATCCCCTAGTGCACTTGGCAAATTGGTTATGTGGTCTGAACCTTTTTTGGATCTGCAAAACTTGTTTTAGGTGCTTGAAAAGGTTAAAAATGAGTTGGTTTCTTCCTACTGTGCTGGACACAGGACAAGGCTTCAAACTTGTCAAATCTTAATTTGGACCCCAAAGTGGGATATTATTAAGCACTCATACTACCAATTATCACTAACTTGCCATTTTTTGTATGCTGTATTTTTTATTTGTGGAAAATACTTTGCTACTTCTGTAGCTGCTCTCACTTTGTCTTTTCTTAAGTAATTACGGTATATGTAAGGTGTTGGGGAAAAAACATTTTGTACTAAAAGTATATAGGGAGTCAAATGCTGACTGTAAATGTGTAAGAGATGTTAAAAATCATACTGCACTTTCAGGAATGTTTGCATATGGTCCTGATTAGAAAGAAAACACTTGTTGTCTATGCTCTACAGTGGCCAATGATGAATTACTAATGCCTTATTTTCTAGGCATATGATAGTTTAGAGAATGTAGACCAGATAAATTTGTTTACTATTTTAAGAAAACTACCAGTTTACTTACAGAAGATTCTTTTTTCCAAACAGTAGGTTTCATCCAAGACTATTTGAAGAACTACAAACTCTTTCTCTTAGAAAAGAAAGAGGGCTGCCCAAAATAAATGCAAAATGTCTTGGTTGTGACCTTTTACCAGTGTAGCAGAGAACCCTAATTACATTTTAAATTAAATCATTCTTTATGTGGGTATTGTTAAAAGGCTTGAGCCTACAAGTTGCTCTTTCTTAAATTGGTTGGGGGCACTGAAAACACTGGTAATATTAAGAGTCTTTCTCAGGGTAACTTAATGTTTTCTTAATGAACAATGTTTCCAGCTACAAATTCCTTCCAATAAGTTGTCTTCCTTTGTGAAAAGGTACTCTCATAGAAGAAATTTAGCAATTTCTCATTGACTGACTCAGTCTGTTTTAAGTATTCAGAAAAGATTTTGATCCCTATTGAGCTAATGCTCCGCCATGAAAATTATTTTTCTGATCCTTGTTAGTGATAACATTTTTTTTCTACTGAAGGTCAAAGGATAGGAAACATGTCATTTCTTTTCTTGTATATGTGTAATGTATTATGTAAAAAAGTATTCATATTGGCAATTTTAGTTAAGCATAATAGTGTGGTTGTAATTTTTAAAACTTAATTCAGTGTTCTGTCTGATTAAAGCAGGCACTGATCAGGATATCTCCTAAGAGGTAATTCACTTCTTATTTCCTTCCAATAATTATTACATTCTAAATTTTCATCTATGAGAAATAACAAGAGGGGAATAGAATTAAATTGGGGAATAATCTAATCTTCATTGTTTAAATGGTTTGACTTCTCACCATTGAAGCCATTTTTTCTAGCCTCAGAAAGAGGAAATAATGCTACCACCATTTTCTACCTGGTGACTTGAAAATTGAAGTTTTAGGTTAGGAAGAAGTTACTTAGAGTCAGGGAACTTGTTTACCACTATCTATGCAGTATTGTTATAGTCTATTTCTATGGTTTGAATATGATTTTCCTAATGATCTGAATAAAATTTTGTTAAAAATTAATTTTTCATTTAATGTGCAAATATTGAATATTCTAGTATATTGAAAGTGGTAGTCATTAAAAATGCCCATGTTTTAGATTTCATGTTTGAAAGGTTCCAATATAGGTTAAGGATTTATATTAGCATTGTCCAAATAAAATAGTATAGTGTTTCATTATTGTTCTCTTCAGCAGTAGTGTAGTAGAAAAGCCAAATGTTAAAATTATGACCTTTTTAGCTTCAAAAAAAGTTAACGTTAAGTAAAATCTCTTTTTAAATTTTTTAGCAATTTGTGAGCAAGTTAGCTTTAACTAAAGCATTTTTCTTCACTGTAACGAAGCCAGAAATAAAAGTGTGTTCTTCATTCTTTATAAGGTAGTATTAAGGTGGTACTAAAAATTATAAAAACAGCTGACAGTTTGACAGCCGCAAACCTAACTTTTTGATATATATTTTCTGTGAAAGTAAAACCAAAAAAGGTCTTTGGGCCAAGAATGTGACTTGAACAAATTTATTAACCAGAATTTATAGAATATCCACTTTGGTGAATTCTCCTACCCAAACAAACAAAAAACTATAAATGACCCTTTGGGATGATATCACAAAGCTGACATTTAAAAAACAATAAGGATGTAAAAAAGAAATACTGTAAGAAGGATAAAGTGATTGGTTACTTTCACCTAAAGATTAAAAAATAGGTCTGACAATGATTCTAATTTGTTTATGGCTGTCATATTTAAGAAAGAGTTGCTTGGAATGAAAGGAGTTATTTTAGGGCAAAACTTTACCATCCTACTAAAAAGAGGTAACATGGAAATATTTTCAACATTATTTGATTTAATGTTTGTTTCCTCATGTGATACCTTGCTAAAACCACAAAAGTACTAACCTCTAAAACATCTTTTAAATAGTGTACACACTGTTGCAAAATAAATAAGGAGCCAAGCTCTTTCTCTCCCCATGACTTTTCAGTTATGCTGTCATTTTAGAAAACATTTTTTAGTTTGCTCTGATCTAAACTCTTCCTCCCTAGGAAAATTGGGGTTATATTTCCATAGAATTCTATCTTGCTCTTAATAAATTCAAATTTTATGGAAAAGATGCATTTCAGAAGATTATTTTTGTGACCAGTTATGCTTTAAAAAAATTAAATTCTTAAATAGCACTTATATTTAATGTATTATTGGGTAGATTTTTGTTTTGAGTAAAATCTTCATTAGAATCCATTTGTAACTGGATGTGTTATAATTTGGGGCTTAAACATATTTACTCTTTTGGGTGCTGCTTTTTTATATGTATTCAGATTGAGAGCTTAGTCTATTTTAAAGTAATATTCTACATTACTTTCTCACAAGTGATGATAGTTAATATAATGTATGCCAGAAGAAAATGATTTAATTTTAAGAATGCGGTTAGATATATTTGACGGTAAATGCTCAAAGGAGTTAGATCTGTCAGTACTTTTGAATGTCTCCTGTATTGGAAACTATTAAGACTGTCACCTCTTTTTAGGCAGAGGCTTACACGTGTTGGTATTTCTGGCACACAATTAGCGAGAAGAGTGCCTTGTCCATAATGAGAAGCATTTAATAAATATTTTGGACTGAGTGAATAAATTTAGAATTCTAAGGACAAATTGGAATAACTTGATTGTAAATTACTGCAATTTCTTTACAGTTCTACTTAAATTGATACTATTTCAAGATCTTCATTAAGCAAGTAATTTAGTAAAAACTGACAGAATCCGTAAAAGGAAAAAAATCTCAAATTTGTAGTTAAGAGTAATAAGTGTTAAGGTTGGGGAAGGAAAAACTGTTTCAGAACTGGTTTCAATGAAAACATAGCTGATGTTGCCAAAAAATGGCTTTTTGTGGGTTGAGTCCATTTCCATCATGACTCCAATATCATTAAGATTGAATCATTCATTTCCTCACTATTAAATCTAGACAGATTAGAGATTTATCACAAATAGAAATTATTAAAAGTCTGACGAACAAAGAAAGAATTTAGCTGTGCATATCAGTGACAACTAAATTGTAAGGTCAGTAAAATAGGCCTGTAAACAAGCAGGTTAAGGATAAGCTAGGGGGTCTCTCCTTGCCGCGGTGGGAGCAGAGTACGAGTCTGAGGCTGAGGGAGTCATGGCAGGACAGGCGTTCAGAAAGTTTCTCCCACTCTTTGACCGAGTATTGGTTGAAAGGAGTGCTGCTGAAACTGTAACCAAAGGAGGCATTATGCTTCCAGAAAAATCTCAAGGAAAAGTATTGCAAGCAACAGTAGTCGCTGTTGGATCGGGTTCTAAAGGAAAGGGTGGAGAGATTCAACCAGTTAGTGTGAAAGTTGGAGGTAAAGTTCTTCTCCCAGAATATGGAGGCACCAAAGTAGTTCTAGATGACAAGGATTATTTCCTATTTAGAGATGGTGACATTCTTGGAAAGTACGTAGACTGAAATAAGTCACTATTGAAATGGCATCAATGTGAAGCTGCCCATTCCACTCAAGTTCTGAAATCTTTCATCATGTAAATAATTTCCATATCTCTCTTTTATAATAAACTAATGATAACTGAAAAAAAAAGGATAAGCTAGGGAAACTACAGATATCTCCTTTTTTATACTATCTTACCTGTTCACTAATTATAACACATATTAACAATATAAAACAATGAAGTTTAAGCAGTAATTGTTTTTACCAACCATTCTGTTGATAATTTACACTTATGTTTATTAGGAAATGTTGTTATTACTTAGACCAAAGTTGATTTAAAATTGGAAACTCTGGCTACCCATAAGGTTTTTTTATTTTGAAATATTCAATACCTAAAAGCCATTTTGATTTAAAAAAATGAAGATGACCGGTCATCTTGTATGATGACCTCATAACATTTTATAAGTTTGAACTTAAAATAGAAGTAGACAGTTTTAGTAATCTTTTGTTTTTGTTTGGTCTAGCCTAAAAGACATTGATTTATCTTAAAGATTTTTAGCAATGTGCCAGGGATAAGTGAGAAATATGGCTTATCTTCCTAGACAAGCAGCATTCACTCAGTGCCAAGTAAACTTTTCTCTAAGTTCAAAAATATTTTTTATATTAAAACACATACCAATGTATTGATGAACAAAACTTACATTAATTTTTTTCTTTTAACCTGGTGTCTGGGTACCTTTTTTTCTTTTTTTTTTTTCGCATTAATTTTTAAAATAATCTACAGACTTCACAGCAATTTAATCTTGCAGCGGGTCATTTGATTCATCCTTCTCATCCCAGAACACGTTGGACACAATACTGGATGCTAATGATACTCTAAACAATTTTTGAAAAAAAACAAAAACAAAAAAGCCTTTGTCTTATGACTTGGAATATGAATAGCACAACAAATTTTCATTAGACAATTCATTTCGTTTATATATAGAATTTCAGACAGATGCCATTTTAATGGCATTTCATGATAGATATTTCTAGATTCTTCAAAGTCCTTATATGTAATTTTTCTACACACTTGGGCATTGGTAAGGAAAACTACAGGGTGTGCAGATTTTAATTTGTAATCCACATCCATGTGTATTTATACATGTTCTCTCTTATCTAATTAGAAGAGGTATTCTTTATAACAGCTAACCTTTGGATTCCTCTCTTCCCCATGTAACAATTTAATAAAAATGACAATGGCTATTACTTATTTTTCACTAGGTTCTAGCACTGTGGTAAGCACTTCCATATACTGATTACATTGAATCTGCTCAGCCACCTTTTATGGTAGACATACTTTTATGAATGAAGAAACAGGCATAACTTTACCAAAATGACAAAGTTATCTCTAAGAAATTGGGTCTCAAACTCAGCTGTTAACCCCAAACTCTTTTTTTTTTTAAATGCTTTGTAATTCTATCAATTTGTTATCTTCATTGTCTCTACTAGCACTTTTCCCTCAGGATACAGTATGAACATTCTCAAGGCCTTTTAGTAGTAAAGAAATCCTCCCACAATTTTACATCAGATCTTATTTTTTTCTTACAGTGAGGTTATTTGAAAGTGTGTGTTCTGTAGTCAGCCTCCAATTTCTCAGCTTCCATTATATCTTGTATCCATAGCAATCTGGTTCTACTTAGCACTCCACTGACAATGTTCTTACTAAATCACCAGTGACCTCCATATTGCCAAATAAAGAGACATTTGATCTCTAGAGCATTTATTAACTACTTCCTTTATTTTCTCCTTTTGGGCTTCTGTAAGTACTATTCTTGATTTTTCTGCCATTTTTCTGGACATTCATAGTGTGTTTTGCTAGCTCTTTATACTATATTTTGGATTTTCTCATATTCCTTCTTTGCTCATTCCATCACCTGCTTTCAGTAATCTCATTCACACAGGATTTCAGCTATAACACATTCCACTGATTGCCCTCAAATGTCTGTCTCCAATCTACACATCTCTGGCACTCCAGGTACATGCATTCAGTCATGCACTGAACATCTCATTTCACAGGTTCCTCATACTCAAATTCAAATCAGGTAGAGCCTCATCCAAATGGCTTAGTTCCCTTTATTTATGTACACGTGGATGGTACCATTGATGATTTATTACTCAAACCAAAATTTGGCTTTTATCCTTGACTCTCCCTCTTCCTCATTACCCACATCCCATTAGTCACCAAGTCCTACTAATTCTACTTCCTACCTAGTATTTTATTATAACCATCCCCTCATCTCCATTCCTACTGCCTTTACCCTATAAAGGCCTTCACCAATTTTTCCACTAGTTATTGTTATAGCTTGTTAACTGTTTTTATTCTACTGTCTCAAGTCTCATTTTGCTCCAATATAATGTCCATATTTTTGCCAAAACAATCTGTCTATACTCCATATAACTTTCACCATAAAGGATATATTCCTTGTGCTAGCTTATCAGGCATGGCTCATGGTTAGCTCGTTTCTAGAATCTCTTGCTATTCCTCATCTCAATCACCCTCTCTCTTGTCATTTAGAACTGTTCATGAATCTGTGAAAATATTATGTGATTTTTAAAAACCAGTTCCGTGTGGGTTCAAAATACATGCTGGTCTCAAAACACGTTAGTCACAAGTGAAGCAAGGCTCAGCAGGGAGAATAGATCGTGCTGGTAGCATAAATCTGGCATGAAAAATTATTTCCTATATTATGTATGAATCACAGTTTTGCATCCAGGAGAGATACTTGGGAGTAGAGAATCATGGACACTGACTAACGAATCTAACAACTGACTTTTTATGTCATTGGTCCTCACCGTGACATGATGGAGACAGGTAGATCATGGCAAGTAGAGGGGAGAGCCTTGGGAGGTAGGTCTGGAGTGCAAGGCTTGGTCCACAAAACTATGCAGCATCACTAAGTCTCTATTTAATCCAAAAGGAACTTGCTTGCCAGTCTAGTTTTACCAAAACATAGGAAAATGCTTATTACCCAGGCAGTGCAAAATAGGATCGGAGCTGTGAAGTGCAGGGGTGAAGTAAGCAGCCCCTTTGCAAACCATGCACCATCTTGTTTTGTGATTTTTCTTCTTGACCCCCTTGCAGGTAGTACTGTTTCAGCAAAGCTGGAAAGGGATCTGCATGGCCAACATCTGTGAAACACTAAAAGCATTCCCCACATGGCCTTCTGTCCTCAAAGTGAGGCTTATCAGTTCAGAAGGACTAATTCTGGAGCTGTGCTAGTTATTATGCAGGACTCTTCTCATTCCATGTTACCCAGTAACTGGTAGAATAGAGAGTTCTGCTTCATTACAAATGATGCAATTTCACAGTCAAGGGGCACCACTCCCACCCCCTGAACCTTTTAAGAACTTCATCCTCAGGCCTTGGACATTCCACACAAAGTCTTGGGTGTCCTGAGAAGTTACCCAAACTCCACAGTGAAGGGAACCATGACCTAATCCTACCATCCCCTCCATGGGGTCATCAGGCACCTTTTTCCCAGCAGAACCACCAGACCCAAAGCTCAGTCCTGGAAGCTCAGGGAATTTTTTTTGTTTTTATTGAGACACCTGTTTGCATCTTCTGCGAGACTTCAGACTAGAAATGCCTTGTGTTCTCTTGCCCCCTTGAATTTGATGGCTAAGACATCTAGAACTTCTGAATTAGAATGCTTTGCAGGGTGCCAGGCTTCCTAGTGTATTTGGAGAGGCAGGCTCATTAGCTTCAGAAGA